GCTCATCAGACTTGTGCTTATTCCTACACTATTCACAATTAAACTAAAAAAAAAAACTTCATTATGCCTGATAATCATTCATAATAATCAACATAATATGCTTCATTGCGCTATAAGATCTTGCTTTGAATTAAATACCCTTTTACACGTCAAACACTGCACTAACCATAATAAAACGTATGCCCATAAAGTAGAACTTAAAAATACCTCATGTATTACATTTTTTGCTTATGTAATTAACAACACCCATTTAATATATTCTATTTATTCATATCATGATTCATATAAACAGTACAATCTTATTATCTTACATACACAAATTATACGTCTCAAATGTTTATAATAAAAATGGCGAATAATATTAACTCATACATCAACAATGTAGACCAGTGCACATTAAGTGAAACATATTATAGTACCCAGTAAGAGGCTAAACATTATATTAAACAACCATACAAATTCTTAAATATAATATATAAAAATATAAGATCGATAAATTGCAACTTTCTTAGTCTACACAACTTACTTGACCGAATCTCAATTGATTGCGATGTGTTGGTTTTAACAGAGTGCTGGTTGCCCTGTTCAAGTAATCAAAATATTCCATATATACAGCACTACACTATGTACAAAACTTGTAAACATCAAAATCAAAGTGATAGGGTAATTATTTACATTAAATCATGTTTTTGTTGGTATATATTGAATAGATAAATTTAAATAATACGGCGTCTGGACTAATCGCTACTATTGATACGGATACAGTGTTTCTTTGTGTTTCTTTCGACACTCAACGCTACACTTACATCGCTTGCAAAATGTAAGACAGTCATAATAACTGCAGATAATTCTAGATATAAAATCTTCTTCCTTAGATACCCGCATCCATGCAAATCTTAATCGCCATCATAATTATCTCGCATATCATACTTTTTTTTTGCTCACATCCTCCCAACCTCGGAGAGAACGGAGAATACTGCATTGATCAGTTTATCTTGTGCACCAAATACATTGTCTGTAGCTTTGGTTTTGGGAATCAAAAATGGAAGAGAATATTTATTTATTTATTTATTTATTTACTGGAAAACTAACAGCTTAATCTTAACAAGATATAACATACATGTAAATTACAATCTAAGCCAATAAAAAGTTTTCACATATAGATAAACCATAGTCATACATAAATAACAAATTCACTTTACTGCCGGTTCAAACTAATGTTATAAAATTATTGATTGTTATTAAATTGTTGACTGTTGCTAAAATTGGAGGTGATTAATTTACAAATGGCAGAACTGTTGGTACAGAAAAGGTCCACCTTATCATAGTCTTTAGATAGTCTGTTAAATGAATTGGATGCTCTTATAAAGAAGGAATTGCGTCTGTAGTTAGTGCGATAAGAAGGTATGTGTAAGAGATTGTTACAACGTAGTGAACGAGTGGGGGTTGAGATGAGTAATTTCTTTAATAAGTCTGGACAGTCTATGTGGCCCTGAGCGATTTTTGATAGTAAAACCAGGTCTGCCGTGTAACGTCTAGTTTGCAGAGGGAGAAGGTGAAGACGACCACACAGCAGCTCGTAGTTTTCTTTGGGAATGCGGAATTTTGAGCACACATATCTGATGAATCTTTTTTGGATGGATTCAATTTTATTAACGTAAATATTGTACTGAGGATTCCATATTTGACTTGCGTATTCCAGATTACTTCGAACAAGTGAACAATACAAAATTTTAATAGATTTTAAATTGCGGAAACTGGAACATGATCTAATGATAAAGCCAAGAGCTTTATATGCTTTATTAACAATTTGTTCAATGTGCTGGTCATATAGTAATTTGTTGTCAATGGTAATACCCAAGTCCCTTATTTCATTGCACCTGGATAATTCTGAGCCTTTAAGGGTATATTTAAATATGTTAATATTACGCTTACGCCCGAAAGACACACAAAAACATTTTTCAACGTTAATATCAAGTTTATTTCGCCTACAGTACTTGTCAAAATTGAGTAGATCGTTTTGTAAGTATAGCGCATCGTCGAAATTATTAACTATTCTAAATAATTTCATATCGTCAGCGAAAAGTAAAAAATTTGTGTTTAAAAAGCATTCACTTATGTCGTTAATAAAAATTACGAAGAGCAAAGGGCCAAGTAAAGAACCTTGCGGGACTCCGGAGGGGACAGGCACCCAGGAAGATGTAAATCCATTCAGAATTACCGCTTGTGATCTATTAGAGATATAGGATGTAAACCATCTAAATAAGTCACCTCTTATACCGGCTGTCGATAACTTTTCCATTAATATAGCATGATCAATACGATCAAATGCCTTGCTATAATCGGTATATATGGCGTCGATTTGATATCCTTTATCCATATTATATGAAACGAAATCCGTAAATAGCAAAAGATTGGACGTAGTGGATCTTTTTTGAAGGAAGCCATGCTGTTGGGGAATAATAGTATGTTTGATCGCCGGGTACAATTGGTTGTATACAATTCTTTCAAAGACCTTAGCAATGAGGTTTAATTTAGAAATTGGTCTATAATTCTCAATGATATTTTGTGGACCCTTTTTATGTATTGGGGTTATAAATGCGGATTTCCATCTTGATGGCATTAAGCCCTCATTAATAGATCTTCTAAAAATAAAAGTTATAGGTTTAGATAAAGTTCCAGCACATTTTGTTAGAAATAAAGCTGGTATACCATCAGGGCCAGCTGATTTTTTTAAGTCAAGCGACTTTAATAGCCTCTCTACTTCAAAGTAATTTATATTTATTGTAGAGATATCGTTTGATGCGAAAGATGATGTACAGCGTGAGATATCTTCTGGTTTAGTTGGTTGAAGGTAATTAGAATGAAAATATTGTGCAAAAAGATTACAAATATCTTGTTCTGAGTTATATGTTATACCAGAATAAGTCATACGAGAGGGATAAGATGCACCCCGACTTTTGTTTCGAATATACGACCAAAATATTTTAGAATGACTTTTTAGACTATCTTCGACGCGACAAATATATTCATTGTAGAGTGTCTTTTCGATCCGTTTAATCCTTTCTCTCAAAATTTCAAAGGTGATTTTGTCATATAAATTTCCATAGATTTTGAACTTCTTGTGGTACTTATTCTTTTCTTTGATTAATCTGACAATAGCATGATTAAACCATGGTGGGTATTTGCTATTACATTGTATACGAGAAGGAATATAATTGTCACGAATATTATATATTGTCTCGTAAAACAGTTCGACAGCATCATCCACATTACCTCTACTAAGAACTTCATCCCAGTTCACCGAACTAATGTCTAAATTTATTTGGTTATAGTCGCCTTTATTGTAAGAATAAGAGGTCAATTTGTTACGAGTCAGAGGCTGGACATCAAAGTTTACAAAAATTATCAAAGCCTTGTGATGCTGGTCTTCCAAAACTAAGGGATCTAGACAATGATTTACATTTACATAGTCATTCGACAAAACTAAGTCGAGTATTCGGTTGTAGGAATTATAAACTGTATTAAATTGTTGAAGATCACAAAAATTCAAAGTTTCTAAGAAATATTGTACATGTTCGCCCCTGGCGCCACAACCCTCGATACCACTCAGTGTATGGGACCATGTAATAGAGCTCATGTTAAAATCACCCAGAATTAAGAATTTGTCATTCGGATTAGCTGATACTATTGACTCAAGAGAATTACAGAAATTGAAGACTTGATCGGAGAAGCATGCGCCCATATTTTCATTGCATAGATAAACAGTGCAAATATTGAGTTTAACGGGGTGTTTAGAGTAAGGGCATTTTAGTGTCATTGAAACCCAAATATCTTCTGCCTCCGAATACCACTTAGGTTCTCCTTTTGCGATTATTCTCTTGTGTAAAGCAATAAGAACCCCCCCACCTCGCGATTGTTTTGTTTTATTGAGATCACGGTCGCGGCGCCAAACGTAGTAGCGATCGTCAAATAACTCAGCATCAGATATGCCACCAAGTAACCACGTCTCCGTTAATGAAATAATGTCATAGTTGTTGAGCGCCACATTACGATAAAAATTTTCAGCTTTAGTTCTCAGCCCTCTAACATTCTGGTAATACACATATAATGAGGTCATTTTGACTGTTTACATGTATACAACTTAAATACAGAAATACAGAACAAGAAATGAGATACTATAATTAAACTTACAGTAGCTATAACCACAAGTTTAATTATAGGACATTTTGTAATTATTATAATCAGCGCAAGGCCAAAATATAAGGTCCCATGTAGAAGTTTTATATAGGGCAGTATCAACAAAAAGTATAAAAATATCAGGTCTTTAAAGCGGCATCTCATACATAACAATCTGGTGTCAGGTCTGAAATGATAATAATGTATAATAATATAAAGTATATGAAATTTGGAGATACTACTAGAAATAATATATAATGTAAGCATAAACTCAATGGCGTATCTCAAAAAAAATGATTTAGTGTAAAGAAAAAAATGTGAAGTTGAGATTGTTGTTGTAAGTTTTACCGTTGTTATATCGTTGTAATACAAGCCGCTAAACTTCCGTACATTTGGTAAGGAAAATAAAATAATAAAAGACGACGGTAGTAAGCAACGTTCATAGTTCTTAATTGAATGTACTTTTATGGAGAGGTAAACGTAACTCATCAGGTAATTAAATAAAAATTCGTTAAATAAAAATGCAAAGCAAAAGGAATACAATACCTGGAAATTATACAGTATCTTCATATTATAAAAGCGTTCATACTTACTTAACATTAAACAATGTAATGCAATCCCTTGAAAGTAGGTAATAGGTACACAAATAGCATGCACATTACGCATAAGCAAAAAAGGTTTTAGTAAACAACTATAAAAGACTATGATAAGGCGAGTTGAGACGGTGGTTCCCAAACTGTTATAAGTAATATTTTTTGATTTAATATAAATTAAATTTAGCAAAACGATAAAGACTAGCAATGAAGAAATGTTTATATAAATTAATTTATCTTGACGAGATCTGATTCGGATTTGATGTTGAAGACATACGATGTATCGGTTTTTCTTACAAAAATTTTTCCATGTTTGACCCACACGTATTGGTAGTTTTTTTCTTTTGCCAAAGTTTTGGTTTTATTCAGTAACATTTTTTTAGCGTAACTAAGATGGTCGTTAATATAGATACGATTTTTACCTTTCAAACCAATATCTTCAGCTGATATATTAAGCTTACTGTGACGTGATGCTGCGATGAAATCCTCCTTCATGTATTTGTTTGTGAATGAAACAATTATTGGTTTGGTATTGGACGATCCAGTATCACGCGTCTGGACTCGAGTTACATAGTTGACAGCATTTTTTGGTACAGGATAGGTTATTTTATTTCCCAGTTTATCGATGATGTCAAACAAATATTCCCCAGGTTTGAACGGAACTCCCTTAATTTCCACATTATTTGACCGAAGCCACTGATCTTTTTCGTTGACATCATCTTCCAATTTACGTAATTGTAGTTTTAGAGATGATAGTTCTTGATTAGCATTTTCAATAGCTTGAATCCGTTTATCGAAAGTATCCATTTTTTCCTTAACATTTTCGTTAAATTTCCGTAGTTCCGAGATATCATTTTTAATTGTGCGAATGTCATTGATGACTTCCTGAAGAGGAGTTAATTGGCATGAAAGCTTCTGTAGCTCAAACATGATAGTGTCCAGAGTAGGTTGTAGGTTGTCGGCTTCCGGAAGTGGTGATTCAGATCGAGAAGACAAATGGCCCACTTTGCATGAGGCACAGCGCCATGTAGCTTGTCTGTCCCCAAGTTTGCGGTAACCCACTTCAGTTATCCCGGAACATGGGAAATCAAAAAACTTGCGACAAGATGAACACTGTATTGCGCTAGACACTTCTTCACAACATCTACCACAAACAACCATTTTGATCGAATACGAAAATGATAACTTAAAGTTTGAGAACCTTTACTAACAAAAGTTTGTGACGGTATTTGTATTTTTTTTTTATTAATCTATAGATACTGGCAAATTAAACGTGCGTTTGACAAGAGATACAGATGATGACTAATAAATAATGTAACTAGTACTATTTCAAAAGTTTACTTTGAATACTTTGATAAAGCAGTCCAAAAACTTAACACCTATTTATACCATTTTAGATCCAAATACCGCAAATGAAGCTTTTATTAAACTATTGTCGGATGCAATAGCTGAAAACTTATCACTTACAAAAATATCGGCCATAAATAGAATATTCGGCCATAAATAGAATTTTGTTCGTGGTGTACAATAAAAGTATATTCATTCATTCATTCATATTCATACTTAAACCGTGGATGACACCAAGCTTGTTAAGGTGTAAAAGAAAGAGAGATTCATAAGAGGTATAGAAACTTCTGTAATAAAATTTTAAAGAAAGCAAAAAGAGATTATGATGCTCAAAAAAAAAGGAAATCATGTAAAAACCAACCAAAAAGCACTATGGGATACTATCAAAAAAATAACAAATGCATCCACAGTAAACAAGTATCATGTCAGTTAGTTACATAAGCAATGTCTCTAAAGCAATCATGTAATAATTTTAACAATTTTTTGTTGATGTTGGAAAGAAGCTAGCGAACAGTAAAATTAATATAATAATTTTCCTCAGTTTACATGTTCAAAGACTTTTACATGTATTTCTTCTTTTGTTCTTAAAAAACCTAATACTGATGGAATAATTTTAATAATAAAAAGCTTAAAGTCAAGTGTTGCTATCGGTTAGGGTGGCATATCTCCCGCTATATTAAAAAGATACTCTGCTACGCTAGCAGCCGTGCTAAGTCATATATTCAATCTCTGTTTCAAAAATGCTTTTTTTCCAAATTCTTTCAATAAGTCTATAATACATCCCGTCTTCAAGGGTGGTGATGGGACTTTAGTCCCTAATTATCGTTCTATTGCTTTACTATAATATGCCTTATCAAAAGTCTTAGAACATTTTGCGAATAACAGAATAGTCCATTATCTTGAACACTTTAAATTAATATCACCTCAATAAATTGGATTTCGCAAAAATAAATCAATTTCTGATGCAGTTCAGGAATTAATAAATTTCATAGTCAGTAGTCTGAATAGTCATAAGAAGGTTCTTACAATATTTCTAGATCTAGCAAACGCCTTTGACCCAAACATGTTTCCACTCTTTTAGCCAAGTTAGATTTTTTCTAACTTGGCTAAAAGAGGTGTCAGACGATTACATTTAGACTTTTTCAGAAGTTATCATACAAATCGCACTGAAATTGTTAAAATATCCAACTGCATCAGTGATAAACACCCTGTTTCCTATAGTGTCCCTCAGAGATCTGGCCCGACTCTATTTCTTGTTTTTATTAATGACTTGTGCAATCTTCACATTGATAACGCAAAAATCTTCTCTTTTGCAGAAGACACAGCTATTACTTTCTATGCAAAATCTTGGAAAGATCTTTAAAGTAAATCACAACATAGTTTTAATTAAATATAATTATAATTGGCTTTATCTCACACTCTTACTCGTTATACTTCTAAAACTAAATTTACAATTTTCTCTATCAGTCGCACCTCGTAATGAAAAATACCAAACAAGTTGAAAGCTCACTCGTGTTCTCTTCAGGCTTTTGCTTCTATGTGTCCACAGATAAATTGGGTAGATACTCGTAATATAAAGTATCCCGGTATTTTGTTTTATCGTAGTGTTTTAAATACATATATCGCAAAGTAATACATATATGTATTTAAAACACTACGATATGTCGACAATTCCATAATTTACGCAACGTTTATTACGCTTTATGTCAGTTTATCATCACGTATTGCATTTCTTGCTGGGGTAGTGTTGCACAACAAAATTGAAGCCACTTGAAGTTGCGCAAAGAGCTTATCTTAAAGGTTGCTACTTCTAAACCAATGTTATTTCCAAATATTCAATATTGCATTGGGTATGTACAAATTAATTATAGTAAATATATAGATTTTAAGTTAGTTATAATGGGATTGACATGTTAACAAATAAAATTTCCTAAATAAATAAAGAGAAAAAAAACTATTCAACTATATCAAAACTACGCTGTTCTTAGTGTAAGGCCGCTATTTATACTGCATACAGTATTACTTCAGCATACGAGTATAAGGACTCCATTCCTTGAAGTTACAAAACGTCGTAACGACAAAGTGTGCACACTTCCACTAGTCAATTTTTCATTTATAAAAAAAAATTACCTAGGTCCTTTATTTTATAACAAAATTAATGCAAATATAGGGATTTATGAAAGGTATACCTCAGGTATACCTCAAAACTTGAAAACAAGACTGTACAACCAGTGCGTGTTGCCAGTGATGACCTATTGTACTGAGACGTGGTTTTTCACTGCAGTAGAACCAGAGTGACCGACATAACCCAACGAATTAGTAAGCTAAAGTGGCAATGGGCCGGCCATATAGCTTGAAGAACCGACAGCCGATGTGGAAAAAAGGTTCTCGAGTGGCGGCCTCGTACCGGCGGACGAAGTGTAGGGTGTCCCCCCACTAGATGGAGTGACGACCTGGTAAGACATGCAGGAAGTCGATGGATGCAGGTGGCTCAGGACCGTGCTTTGTGGCATTCCTTGGGGGAGGCATATGTTCAGCAGTAGACTTGTGAAGGGCTGTAATGAATGAAAAATGAAATGTCAACATTTACCTGCTAAATAAGTCATATGATGTACGGTCACCTCAGATGACCCGAGAGGCTGACCGGGATTAGACCGTTCGCAGAAACAACCACAGGAATAATTTCGGTCAGCAGACAACCCCATAAGTCGGTCACCTCGTGAGCAGGTCCAGATATTTTCTTTTCTTTTCTGTTTCGACTTTCACGAGGTTCTCGTCTTACGGAATAGTAATGTCGACGACGTATGTATATATATATATATATATATATCTCAAATAATAATATAAAGCTGATAAATTCCATATACATAATCACATAATTTGTTAAACAAGTAATGCTCTTTTTTAAAATAGTTTGTGCTTCACGGATATGCAAAGGTAGGGCATTGCAGAGCGTATACTGTATAATAGACTGGACAGTAAGGCCTGTACTATTAATAAAATTTACTCAACGATGAACTCAAGTGCGTAATCATTTGATATCATTACGATATCAGCTTTATTTATTTATTTACGATATAATTTTATATATTTATTCAGTCCAACCAGATGAGAATACTCTATAAATACCCATGAACAATAATAATAATAATTCTTTATTGACTTTTGTAATAAATTACATACTTTTTACAAATTTATACAATACATCAGGAGGACCAATTTGAAATGGGTAGAATCCTAAGTCTCCTAGCTAGGTTACTTAATAGCAAGGCGAAAAAGGGCAAGGCGGCAGCACAGGTAATGGCTGCGCCAGCCCCAGTGCCTGCGGCGAATGGGCCAGCGCCAGCGGCAAGCCAGCTGCCGCCGCCGCCACCGCCCCCCCCAGCTCCCTACACCTCCCGCGGCAAAAGCCGGTTGGCAGGTGGTCGGGGACAAACAGAAGGGGAAGAAGGCAGCCAAAAAGGCCGAAGAGCAGGAGCGGCAGCGCCAGTTCAGGGCGCGCAAGATCGCGGCTAGGCTCCGCGCCCCGAAGACCGCAGCTGTAGTGATTACACTACAGCCGGACGCGGAAAAGAAGGGCGTTACCTACCGCGATCTGCTCGCGAAGGCGAAAGAGGCGGTGGATCTCGGGGAGCTCGGGATCACTGGGGGCCTCCGGCTCAAAGTCACCCAGACGGGGGCCCGTATGCTGGAGATCCCCGGGGAATCCAGTGGCGCGACTGCGGACGCCCTGGCTGCGAAGCTCAGAGCGTCCCTGAACGCGGACGAGGCCCGAGTGTCCAGGCTCGTCAGATGCGCAGACCTGCGCATCATGGGTCTGGACGACTCGGTATCGGAGGAGGAGTTGGTGGCCGCCGTCGACAGGTCCGGGGGGTGCACTACTGACCAGGTCAGGTCAGGCGCCATACGCCCGGACCAACAGGATATGCATGCCGCCACGGTGTGCTGCCCTGTTACGGCGGCCAAAACCATAGTGGAGGGCCGAAGGCTTCTGGTGGGCTGGGTCTCAGCGCAGGTTAAGCTGCTGGAGCCCAGACCTCTGAGGTGCTACCGCTGTCTCGTGGGGCATCACGTATCAGCGAAATGCGCCTCGGAGGTTGACCGCAGTGGCCTCTGCTTCCGCTGCTGTCAGCCCGGACACATATCGGCGACCTGCTGCGCCACGCCGCACTGTGATGCGTGTGCGGCGACCGGCAAGCCAGCCGATCACTGGGCCGGAAGCGGGACCTGCGTGTCACCCGCCAAGGCCAAGGCCGCGGGTAGGGGAGGGCCCTCCTCCGCCGCCACCGCCTCTATGGCCACCGCCGCAACTGCAACTGCCGCCGCCGCCACTGTCACTGTCGCCGCCACCGCCGCCGCGACACCGACGCCTGCAGAGGGGCGCCCCGTGGAGGAAGCTGAAATAGAATGCCTATAACGGCCCCATTAAGCTTCCTCCAGGCGAATATCAACCATTGCGCCTGCGCTCAGGATCTGTTGCTCCAGAGCATGGCGCAGTGGTCGATTAACATCGCTGTGGTCGCTGAGCCGTATTTTGTCTGGCCTAGGAAGGACTGGGTGGCGGACCTTAACGGCTCAGTGGCCATCATTTCTTCGGCCGCCGCCGGTACCCCGACCCTTGAAGGTGTCAGGTGGGGTCAGGGGTGCGTAGCAGCACGGTTCGGGGAGTTTGTCGTTGTGGGGGTGTACTTCTTCCCGAACTGATCTCTCGCCGAGCTCCACAACTCTCTTGCAGAGCTGAGAGCAGTCGTCGTCGGAGGCTATCCCCTCCCCGTGCTTGTCCTCGGGGACTTCAATGCCAAGAACTTGGCTTG